TGAGAGGATGGGTGGCCCAATGTAGAAATCATGTTTTCGTCTTCATTATTAGGAGACCTTGCATCCCAAGGCGGCAGATGCATTCGGATCTGTTTTCTTCTCAGGGGCCCTCTTCCCAGCTGAAAATTCTCTAGAGGAGGGAGCAAAGAAAGCCTGTGTGTTACACCCAAGGAAGATTAACACTGCCTTGCTAGGGAATGAACAGCACCCTGGTTGAATGGCCTTTTTTTGGTTTTTGTTTTTAATCTGAGGATACTCGAAAAACTCTCATTGTAAAAGAGTCAGACCGTACAAAGGAGTAGTGAGTATGGTTTTCATGCCACAAATATGAATTATACAAAAAACGTCATGGTACTTTATTTTCTTTTTAACAAATTAAATCTAACTTCAAGGCCCCAGCCCACTAAGTGGGTGGAAATTTGTTTTTCTGGGAGCTTTCCCCCAAGAGAGCAACCAAAACGGAAATATCTAAGGGACCCCTCTGATATTTGTCCATGCTGGTCACCACAAATATGCCCATTGTCCAAGCACACCCTTGAAATCCATGTGGGCACATCTTCTTTGTCAGGGTCCGGCCTCCTGGGGTCCACCCGTTCTGGGGCACAGGCTGCAGATTCCCACAATTTGGCACATCCCCAGGCCTCTCCCCACATCCCTCAGGATTCCAGGGACACTGCCCCCATACACACTCCTTTCTGCCTTCAGGACACTCACATTTCCTCAATGAGTTCAGTCTTTCACAAAAGCCAGGAAGATAGGTCTTTAGCAACATTTGCTTTTGGCAAATGCTCCTGAGGCAAAGAAATAGAAGGCAAGGCTGTCTTCTTGGAGTGGGAAGAGAGAAAAGACGCAAAACAAAATATAAATAGCTCTCATTCTTTTTCATTCTTCCACAACTGTGGAAAACTGATATTAATAAAAAATGAAACATATTAATATTTCAATATATTGTCCAAAGATTGAAATATTCAAAGCAAAACACTGTCGTTTCTCTTCATCATCTCCTCTCTAATTTCTCTTTCAAAGCCACCATTATTAGGATTTTGGTTTGGATTGTGTTGTCTTTACAGTTAATCTGGTTGTAGACCTTTAATATTTAATAAGAAAATATATATGTAGCAGGCACTGAAGGGGCAGCGGAGGTCAGCCATAGCCTGAGGGAGAGAGGGACAGAAGCAGGCAGCTGGAATACTGGGGGATAAGTCTCTGATCGGGGAACTACAGGAGGCGAGGGGGCCCAGAGGAGAGGCCTCCAACCTATCCTGACAGAGCAGCAAGTGCTGAAAGTGTTTGGGGACATAAAACAAGTTATTTCTGGAGCATGGGTTGCAAGGGGGGAAGATGTGTGGGAGGGAATGTAAGCCGTGAGTAAGGCATGAAGGCATGAGCCTCAGAGCGGGCAGAGCCTTTTAAGCTATGTTTAAAAGCTCAGACTTTATTCCAAGAGCTATGAGGAGCCTTTTAAGAGCTTAAAGTGGAAGAGTGACACGCTCAGGTTAGCATTTTAGATCACTTTGGCTTCAGCATAGAGAACTGAGTGGGGTGAGGTGACCCCAGTTGGAGGTTATTTCAGTAAATTGGAATAGCAGTGATGGAGGCCTGTATTAGAGTAGCCATAGAGGGAATGGAGGAAAGAGGACAAATAAAAGAAATGTTCAGGAGATAGAGTCGTTAGGACGTGGTGACTGGCTGGTGCTGGTGTTGGTGTTGGTGGTAGGGGGACAGCAGATGGAGGAGACTAGGAGGACAACCTCTGACTTGGGTAACAGGTAGATAGTGGTTCCAATCCCTAAAATAGGGAAGACTGGAGGAGCAGTTTTGAGAGATAAAACAATTAGTTCAATTTTGAACAAGCTAAGTTTGAGTTATCTCATTAAATTTCTTCAGGTAGAAATGTCCAGGCCCTGCCTGTTGGACGAATGGGTCTGGAGCTCAAGAAAGGTTTGGGCTGCACATATGTAATCAATGACCTCTATGTGGAACCTGAAGCCATGCGATTGGCTGGGGTGACCCAGGGGGAGCATGGAGAATGAAAAGAGAAGAGGGCCCAGCACGGAATCCTGGAGGTTACCACCAGTGTTTCAGGGACTCATGTCTGGGCCCTTATGCTTTAGGAATATATAATTAGGAAGGCAGATTTTCTTGGTCATGAGTTGGGGTAAGGTATCATGTTTTCAGAGTAAGATGGAAATTGTTTTTAACTTTTTTTTCCTTACCTTATCCTACTTCTTTCCATTTCTTCTGCTCTCGGCTGTGTAATCCTGGGCATATTAACTTCTTACTGCCTCAGTTTTCTCATCTTTAAAATGGAGAAATAGTAATTTCTACCTCCTAAGGCTGTTATGAGGATGAAAAGAGTTAATACACAAAAGTGCTTAGAAAAATCACTGGCCCACACAGTACTTACTCAATAAATGTGAACTATCATCATCATCATTATCATCATCATCATCATCATTCTTAGCATGGACAATGGAGGGATTGACTGTGTTCTTTTGGAGTTACATGACTCCAGAGGATGGAGTTAGACAGAGCTGGGTTCTAATCTCGTGTGACCTTAACTTCTCTGAGCCTCAAGCTTCTTTCTCTTCTTTAAATGGGGATGATCACACTTACCTCATAGTGAGATAATATCTGATGGGCCCTGGTGTGCCAGAGGCATTTGCTAATGGTTAATTTCCCCCCTCCCTCTTCCATAATTGTTAGCTTAGGACCAGGGAAGTCTGGTGACTCTGACATCAAGTTTTCCCCCCTCCACCTGTCAGAGGTATCCTACAATATAGCACTGCTCTGTACATGCCGGTTCTCCCTGCAAAGGCCTGGGGGCAGAGTGATGGTTAAATATTTGCAAATCCTTCTCTAAAGACAACTCTTCTCCAAAGTGATTTCCACCTCTCCCAACTGACCCTCTGGTCAGTGAGAGGTATCTTGGCATCATGAGACAGCTGGACCCCGGGTAGGGGTGGGAGAGTAAGTGAAGCAGTGGACTTCTGTGGCTACAATTTGTTGTTCCTGAAGGGAGCTCTTGCATCTTTTATTCTGTTGGAGCAGCTGACTTCTGACCCCTCACTACATCCTCAGACTGTCCTCTGTAGTCACCAAAGAGATCCTTCTCAAATGCAGATCTGTGGTCCCTGCTCCGCAGCACCTTTCCGGCCTCATCTCCTGCCTTCCCTGTCACACCAGACCTGACTGCCTGTAGTCCCTCCCAACCCCGTGCTTCCACGCGTTGGCAGGGGCCAGTTCCTCTGTCAGGGATGTGTCCTCTCCCTTTTCGTTAGTCCACTGGGTGAACACATACCTATTCAGCTTCCAAGGAAGCGCTCAAGTCACCTCCTGTGAAAATATCTCTGCCCTCCTGCATGGGATCGTTAGTCCCCCCTCCTTGTGCCCTCCCACAGCCCCTTGAATAAACCTGCATCATAACACACAGAACAATGTGTTTGCACACTTGTCTTCTGAACTTCTTTAAGGCAAGTAGCCTATCTCATTCATCGTCAACTCCTCAGTGCATTGCACGGTACCTGGCACCAAGGGGGCCTTCAGTGTTGGTAGAATGAAGAAATGAATGGATGTGTGGTTGGACAGATGGGCAGACAGACAGACTAATGGAGCTTGTTGAGATGGGGGCTATGCTTCACTGAAGTGAGAACAGCCCTCAACCTTATGCCCCAGCCTTTTTCTGGGGGTGGGGGTGGTGCATAACCTTTCTCCCACACTAAACCTTGATCACCACCAGACAGTCCTTAAATTCTGGGAGCAAGATTTGTATTCACAAGGCTAAAATTCAAAGGGAGGTAGTGCATATTCATTGAGAAACTACTGTGTTCAAGGGCCTACAGGGATACAGAGAGAGAAAATAGGCTGCAAGTGCTTTCACAAAGTGGCTGCCGTTAAATCCGTCATCAACATAATCATCTTTACAAACTCAACATTCTCTATGGTTCCTCTGATGGTTCTTTCTGGAAGTCCTTTCGACTTCAACAGCAGTGGAGAGGGAAGCTTGGGCAGTTCCCTAGTAGGAAATCCTCTTTCTCTCCAGGATACATTGGATGTCCACAGTGTGGGAGTCCCTGGCCCACAGGATTATCCAGAGCCAAATAAACCATACTCCCTTCTCACAGCACCTGGGAAAATTAGATTCAAGTGGGCAGTGTAATCACCTTGAATGAGAAGAGAGTGTACAGAAGGATAGTCTCATCCCTTTGATGAGGGCATCCTCTTGTCTCTGGTAGCACAGGTTGGGCACTTCCCTGTAAGCCATTGCTCAGCACCAGCCGGGCTAGAGGCACAGAGTCTTGGGCTGGACCTGCCATACTCTCAGAGCAGATGGGCTTGGCTGGCCCCATCTCCACTGCATCATTCCTGGGGACAGGATGAACTCCTAGGAATTGTGCTGTTCAAGGCTTAACTCTTAGCCAAGCCTCATCCCAAAATAGTCTTGTCTCCCTGTCAGCACCCTCCTTAATCCAAGCCACATGAGGGATGGGAATCTACAGGGCGACAGCTGCCTAGGGGCATCCTGGGGAGGCAGGAGCGCTGCCTTTGGGGAGCAAAGAGAGAAGGCAAGATTCTGAAGACACTGATGTAGGAACACTTGGGTGTTCTCTTAACCCAGGCTTTTTGGAACAGGTAGAAGAATTAGGAGGTGAGAGAGGCTGGGGCAGGAGAAGAGCCCTCCATGTCTGGCCAGTTTGCAAACCAGGGCTTGCGGTTGTTAGCAGCTTTACTGCAGGCTCTTCATTTAGATCCCCCTTTTGGACACCCCTCCCTCCTATCTGCCCCATCCCTATTTATCCTTGGCCCTGGTACCCCCAAAATGACAACTGATAGTTACTAGCCTACTATGAGGCCATCTAATAAGAAGGTGCACTCTTTCACAGCAGCAAGAGATCTGCCTGTTTCCTGCCTAGAACAGCAGAGAGGTGCTTGGCTCTCACAGCTCACTCCTGCTCCCTAGAGCCTCCCTAACACAAGTCTTTCTCTCTCTTTCTCTACAGTCCCACCCCCTGTACCTGTGCAACGCCAGTGATGACGACAATCTGGAGCCTGGATTCATCAGCATTGTCAAGCTGGAGAGTCCCCAGCGGGCTCCCCGCCCCTGCCTGTCACTGGCCAGCAAGGTAGACTCATACTTGACCCGACACATGCTCTGAACTTCACTGAGCTTTGGGCTGTGAAGTACCTCTGTGCTCTCTGTCCCCTTGTCTCCTAAGAGTGATGTGCCCAATTCACTCAGGTTTTCCTAACCCATGACTGGTCTGAGAGAGGTGGAAATCCAGGCCTCCATCCTTTCCCCACCAACCGTCTACCAGCAGAACTCTTTGGCTGTCATCCAGGACATGCGCCCCACCCCCTCTCCTTCCCCATCACCTGGAAGTTCCTAAACTCCTTCCCCTGCCCAGCATCAGAGTAAAGAGGGGGTCAGTTGGAGGGGTCTTCCATCTTTCAGAAATATTTACTGAGCTCAATGCAAGAAGAGCAGAAACAGAAGCCATTGTTCCCACCTTTAAAAATTCATACTCTCCCTCCAAGATTGCAAACTGGTGGCCCCACATTTCCATGGGGCGCCGTTGGCTGAAGTTGGCAGCTGCTGCCTTCCCACAGCTGTGGGCTCTCTGGTTCACCACGCTCCCCACTGGCCTGCTACTTCGAGGGCCCTGTAAACGTGTGCATCCGTGACCCTTACTTTAACTTAGTTATGTTTTCTGTGTGCTTGCCATGTGCCAGGTGGGACATGGGGCAGATTCTTTATACATATTATCTCATTTACTTTTCACAACAAGCAGGAAAACTAGATATTCTTATTTTTTATTTGACACATGAGGCAAGTGAGGATCAAAAAACTTAAGTAACTTGCCAGGGTGACACAGCTGGGAAGGGGCGGAGCTGAGACTTGAACTGAGGCTTGTCCAGTTTTCAGACTTAATCTCTCTGCTCTGCTGCCTCCCGTCTGGCTGGGAAAACTGAACACATGTGAAAAGATTCTCATGGTGACATAAGCCAGAGTGTAGTTAGACTGTGTGTGACACAGTCAGGTGGACTTGGGGGAGGGAGTCCTCTTCCCAGAGGTGGTGAAAGAGGAGCATGATGGTCCCAACCTGTGTGCCTGCTCGTTGCACTCAGGCCCAGATCCCCTGGGAATTTCCTGAGGGCTGAGGAAATCGAGCCATGAGTCTCAAGGAAACAGCCTGTGTTCCTACCTGATCCCATGGGGGCAGGGATGTGGCAGGATCCTGAATGTGGTGCCCACAGGTAGAGGAAGATTTTCTCCCATCCTGGCCATGCTGATGCAGAAGGGGGCTCCAGGGTAGGTGGGAAGCAGGGACCAGGACACACCTGGAGGAGCTGGAGAGTGTGGTATTTCTACAAGTGTGGTATTTCTGTAAGGGTCCTTATTGGCAGCAAAATTTTGTTAGGCTGAAGCTGCCTCACTTCTGGATATTTCATTTCCATTGCTTTACAAAATATGGGCAAATGTCATTCATTTATTCATTTAGCAAATGAGTGCTGAGTGTTACTAGTGTGTGAGCGTGTGTGTATGTGAAAGAGAGAGAGACGGGGGAAGAAGGGTTCAGAGAAGCTCTGTCGTTTTTCTGAAGCAGCAAGGATGCACCCACAAAGGAAGTTTTCCTCTCAGCCCCAGGAGGACCACGCTCCTGTGGGGGAGATGAGACACGTACACAGACACTGAGAAGCAAGGAACACGTGGCCAGTGCTTGAGCACCCACTTCTGCTTAACCTTGTTGGGCCTTCGTTTCCATGGCGATAAAATGGGACTTTCATTTCCTACCCCGGTGATCATTGTGAGGACGAAATAATGTATCTCAAGTGACAAATAGTGCCTGAGCTAAAACACAAAACCAAAAAACCATTAGGGATTTAGAAGCGCCTTGGCTACTGCCCTGTGACCTCTTTTCTTTCACAGCCACTGCGGTCACTGCCCATGCTGCCTCCGCTCACACTCGCGGCTCGGCTTCTCCTCACATGGCTCCCCCCATCACTCCAGTTCCCCATTCTCTGGTGGGAACTGCTCTAGCCCCACACTCTCCAGCTGGTCAGGTCCATGGCTTCCCTCAGCTCTCATCCTTTGACCTGACCAAGTGCCTCCAACCTGGGATCCCCTGGCCCAAAAGAGGTCTGTGAAGGTAGTAATGTGGATCTTTGAGCTACTTCCAATATTTAAGAAGTCCCACAGGCTTAAGTAAAATACTCATTTTTGCCTTTGGTTGAAGTTCTGTCAGTTCAATGTGCTAATACAAGTTATCTCATAGGAAAAGGAACAGTGTGTAATAAATGAAGTTAGCTTGGTAAAACCTTTTTTAAAAAATATGGCTTGTGAGAGGCATAGGGGAAAGGTGGGTCTTTGGTTAGGAACGTTTGAAAACAGCTGACCCCAGTCAGCTCTGCCCTGGCATATCGATTAGTGTCGGGGGTGCCATCACCATTGACAGAGCTGGGGCGCTGGAGCCAGACAGACAACACATTGTCTTAAGCCTGGCTCATCCCCTGCCCCGCAGTGTGACCTGGACATTTTAGGTCACCTCTCCGAGCTTCTGTTTCCCCCTCTGTGAATGGGGAATAATAATGGCACTTACATCATAAGGTAGTTATGAGGATTTAATGAGACAGTACAGATGGAAGCTCTTAGACCTATGCTAAGCACATAGTAATCACTCAATAAAGGATTGCAGTTATCACTATTGTCATCACTGGCATCATCATCCCATGCTTTAATAGTTAACAGGGTTGGTTTTTTCGTCTCATTCCTCTCTCTGCTGATCTCTGAAATGCTCACCATAATTCTTCCGGACTCTTCCATTCTTTCACCACCACCACAACCTCCTCCCTATCCAGTGACCCAAATTGGTTTGTGTTTCTTTATTAGCAACTCCATAGCCATCCGTGTGATAAGCCAGGCCCCTGTCACCTCATGCTTGGACTAGTGCAGTGGCTTTTTGCCTGGAGGAAGGAGACGGCTCTGGAGGCAAGCAGATGGGTACAAGCCCTGCCTCTGTTACCCTCGAGACCCCTACCTAGTAACCAGACACTTGGAAGGCCAAAGTCCTGGGTAGGAATCCTGCCTCCAATGCTTATCAGCTGTGTGACTCTGGGCAAGTTATTTAGTCTCTCTGAGCCTTAATTTCCTCAACTCAAAAGTGGAGCTGATGACTGTCTTGTAGAGTTGTGTGGAGTAAATGAAATCATGTATGCAAAGCACATAGTAATATCTGACATAATAATAATTAATAGTTAAGGAACACTTACCATGTGCTAGGCACTATTATAAGGCTTTACGTGGATTAACTTAGAGTCCTCAAAACACCCCTGTGAGGTAGGTCCTATCATTGTCCCCAGCTTCCAGAAAGGAAAACTGAGGCAGAGCAGTTATGTAACTTACCCAAAGTTTCATAGCCAACAGCTGGTAGCAGATTCAGGATTCAAACCTAAGCAGTCTGGGCAGACAGGGTCTCAATAAAGGTTACACCCTTTCTATTTCCTCTACCCTTGCTTTCAAACCCAGATAAATCTCTCCTCCTCTATTGAATCTTTCCCAAATGGCTCAGCCCAGCTAGCCCACTAGGGGCTGAAAGCCCTCCCTCCTCTCACGCTGCCGGGGTTGCTGTCCATGCTTTCCACACCTCCAGGTTTCAGGGAGGTGCCTTGGGAGGAGGGGGAAGCCGAGAGTACTTCATACCCCTACCCCTACCCTCAACCTCAGCTGACTTTTATCTGTTTTGTATATTGAAGATTTGTGTCAGGTTGTGTGTGTGTGTGTGTGTGTGTGTGTGTGTGTGTGTGTATGGTGGTGGGGGAAGGGGAGGGAAGAGCTTTCTTCAGTGAAAAAAGGTTTGGAATCGCTGGTCTGTTTCATTCATTTGTACTCTAGAACGTCGTTATCAGCATTATAATTTTATGAATATGCCTTGCCTCCACAGCTAGATTATCAGTTATTCTGGAGGGCCTGGCCTTCCCTGATTTGGTGCCCTGGGCACAGTGGGTGCTTAGTCAATCTTTGATGAGCAGGAGATATACAGAGACTGTCACTGTGTCTGGAGAGGAAAATCTGAGGCCCAGAGAAGTGCACAGTGTAGTGAAGAAGTCCTGGAGTGTATTGGCTCCCATTGCTAGAGGCTGTGGGCAGCCTTGCTTGCTGCCCCTAGGGGCTGGCTGACTCTTTGCACCTCCCAAAGAGGTCTCTGGGTTTTTCTTTCTAAAACCCAGTCTTCCTGTCTGGAAGGCCTGCCCACCCTCTCTGCCTTCCATATTCTAGTCCCCAAGAAGTGCTTCTTGGGCTGGCCCAGTGGTGCAGTGATTAAGTTTGCACATTCTGCTTTGGTGGCCCAGGGTTTGCTGGTTCGGGTCCCAGGTGCAGACATGGCACCGCTTGTGAAGCCATGCTGTGGCCGGTGTCCCACATATAAAGTAGAGGAAGGTGGGCACGGATGTTAGCTCAGGGCCAGTCTTCCTCAGCAAAAACAGGAGGATTGGCAGCAGATGTTAGCTCAGGGCTAATCTTCCAAAAAAAAAAAAGGAGTGGCTCTTTTCCTCCCTCCCTCCTGCTTTCTTGGGTGCAGGTGGACTAGAGGGAAACATAGATAGCCCCAGAGTGGGCTGCCATCTGGCCCCAAATCGTACTTTTTGATTCCTAGAACTCTGGACACAGGCACCCACTGCCTGAAAGTCCTGTTTGTTTCCCCTGTTGGCCAACTCTCTCTCTTTGATCACTTTTACAACTTTGTAATTATGGGCTGTAATGGGCTGGGGTGTTTGAACGTCAGGGTAATTACTTTCCACTGTTCCTACCCCAATCCTTCAAAGGGAGAGGGGTGGGGAAGTAAGGAAACCTCCAGAGAAGGAAGTCTGTGCCTTTCCCTCATGCTCTTCCAGGTTGGGCTGAATCCAGAGTCTCAATGTGGGGATGAGAAACATGAGGCCCTGGCAGCATAGAGGACCCAGGAATCTCAATTCTGGGACTACTGGGGTGACCTCCCCACTCCTTGGCCAAGTCCTGGATCATGAGATTAGCAGTAGGAGTCCCCCTACTACTGGGGCTGCTCCCATTCCCTGGGTTGGAGAGCTCTGAAGATTAGAGAGCTTCTTTTTGCCTGGGGTCGCCTAAGTAGGGTGGACTTCCTGGGAGAACGTGGGTAGGAGGAGGATGCAGGCTGGGACCTCTCAATTTCTCCAGCAGTTCTTTTCTGGAGTCCTATGAATTTCCAGTCAATTAGCCTGGCGAGCCTGGACCTGGGCTGGGCCTGGGTGCTGGTAGAGGGCCCAGCCAAGCTCATGGGGAGGGAGGGCGGGAGAGAAGAGGGAAGTTATCCTCCTGACCAAAACAGGGCCCCACTTGAGTGTCTCCACTGCCCTTCTCGGGCTCCCCTGCCTGCAGGCTGCCAGTTGTGAGGGGCCCCCTGGCCCCCGCTGCCGCTTGGGGAGTGGGGAGCAGGGAGCAAGGAGCTGCTCCCCTGGCTTGCCACGCAGGAGACCTGCCCCAACAGGCTTTCCCCAGGAAGGGAAGCAGAGATCAAAGTGCTGAGAGTGTGAGTAAGCCCCTGCACTGGCTCCTCTTCCTGCCACCACCACTTGCAGAAGGATTAACTCCATCGGTGCCTGTAGGAAGGCCCAAAGACTCGGCAGACCCCTGGTTGGGGGGGGGGGGGGGGGGGGGGGGGGGGGGGGGGGGGGGGGGGGGGCGGGGCATGAAGTCCCAGCCTGATGCCATTGCAAGATGAGCCTCTGCTCTGGGGAGGAAGGCTGGAGAATGGCTGTGCTGCCAGGGAGACCTGACACCAGGTGGGGAACAGTGTCTGTCTGTTGGTCCTTTGCCCTTGTGCCTCCACCCCACCCTCAGCTCTTATCTCCCTTCTCTTACCCCATACCCAGAGCCCCTAGATTCCTGCTTTTTGTTCTGTTTCTGGCTCTGCTGTCTGCTTTGCCTGGTTGGCTAGATTCTGCTTCCCTGAGCCTGCTCTTGGAGCCTTGGCGAGCACGCATGTGCACACATGCATAGTTGTATCCTTGTGGGAACAGCCTCTCAGGTCCCTCCCCACCTGAGTCTCTAGTGCCACCCTCAGGGAGGGGATGAAGGGATAAAGCACTGGAGGGACTCCATTAAGTCCTTGAATTGGAGCCAGAGAAAGAGTTGGCAAACTAGAGTGTGGCAGGCAGAGAGAGCCCGGAAGATGGGTTGAGCCTGGGCCTCTGCCAGGGGACCTTGGGTGGGAGCAGTGTCCCAGGCTCTTGGAACTTTGCCTGAGCTGGGGGATGCCCCGCAGGCTCCTCCAGTCAGGTAGGGCTGGATCTTCGAGCGCCCAGCTCTATTTGGAAGGAGCTCTCCAACTGTCTACTCTCCCCCTCTTCTCTCTGTACTGGGAACTGGTCACTCCCTACTCCCTGGGGGCTGGGGGGGGGGGGTGCTGGGCACTCCCTACTCTCTGTTCTCACACTTCTTAGTGAAGACAGACTGGTGGAACCCCGAGGGCAGAGACTGTATCTCATTTGTCCTTAGCCCTAGAGCCTAGTCCACCACCTGACACCTTCTAAACCCTTGTTAACGGTTTGCTCCATTACAGAAGGGAGGATTCAATGTTATCCTTGAAGGCAGTGGGACCTGGGTGAGCTCAGGGCAGGGCGGGAGATCCTAGTCCCACTGACCCCTTGCATGTGTCATATATGTGAATGTGCACAGATGTGGTATGTGCAAAACCCTAGGGAGGGATGGATGTGTGAGGGGGTGAGGCCGGAGAATGGATGGGCTGTATTCTTCTCTGACCCCAGCCTGATCTCCGCTGTGTGTCTCTGCAGGCCCGGATGGCAGGTGAGCGAGGAGCCAGTGCTGTCCTCTTTGACATTACTGAGGACCGAGCTGCTGCTGAGCAGGTACCCAGAGACATTGGGGTGTTGGAGGAGGGGGCTGGACAGAGCAAGATAAAGTTACCAGGGGAGGGAGAAGTCAGGACACAGCAGCTCTTGTGGGCACTTTCCCTCCTGCAGCTGCAGCAGCCACTGGGGCTGACTTGGCCAGTGGTGTTGATCTGGGGTAATGATGCTGAGAAGCTGATGGAGTTTGTGTACAAGAACCGAAAGGCCCATGTGAGGATTGAGCTGAAAGAGCCCCCAACCTGGGTAAGCACACCAGATCTCCAGATCCTGCCCCAGCACCTGCTCTCACCCCCACTTTGTCCTGTGGCAACTCCCACCAAAGCCCTTAGACTCCTGGAGCTATAGAGAACTTAGAAACCCTCTGGTCCAACTTCATCCACCAGCTGTGTGCCTCTGGGTAAGTTTCTTCCCATCTCTGGGCCTCATCTGCAGAATGAACAGATTGGACCAGCTGAGTTCTAAAGTTGTTTTCGGCTCTGTGGTTTCATGGCATAGAGTAGCAGAACCAGAATGAAATCCTGGCGCCCTAGCCCCCTAACCCCTGGCTGGTGTTTCTCCACTGGCTAGGAAACTCACCCAGCTGTTCACTTGGTAACTCCCACCTTGCAGAGGGGTCCCTTCCCCCTTTTTCCCAGGCACACAGGTCTTCAGATAGATAGTACCTCTGATGGCTGACATCTGGGGGACCTTCTCCTGTGAGTGTCCATGGGCAGAGAGGGACTAGCTGGCCCCACCTGCAGGTTCCTCCCCGCCTCATCCCCTCTGCTGGAAGACTCAAGGGGACCTCCAGCTCTCTGTGTGTCTCCTGGGCTCCCGTGTTCCTCCCAAATTGGCCCAGCTCCTTCCAGAAGTATGACCCTTTCCTTCTCTGCTCACTCCCCCAGCCAGATTATGATGTGTGGATCCTCCTGACTGTGGTGGGCACCATCTTTGTGGTCATCTTGGCTTCGGTGCTCCGCATCCGATGTCGCCCCCGCCACAGCCGGCCGGTGAGCAGGGTGGGCTCCCTGGCAGAGGTGGGCATGTGCATGTGTGTGGGAGAGTGGGGAGCAGGAAGGGAAAAGTGAGGAAAGAAGTCGCCTTTATACCCATGAAACAGTTTACATCTAAATACCCTGGCATCTGACTCTGTTGATTTCCTGCAGCCTCTCTCCATAGGCTTGCTCATTCATTCATTCTTTCAACAAATATGATGAGCTCCTATCATGTGCCAGGCACTGTTCTAGGCATTGGTGACAGCACAGGGAACAAAAAAGACAAAAGACCCCTTCCCTCAGGGAGCTTTCCTTCTAGTGGGAAGAGACAATGAACAAAATAAATAAGTAAAATATATAGTGTTTTAGATGGTGGTGTATGCTAGGGAGAAAAATAAAACAGAAAAGGGGAGAGGAAATGTGAAGGGGATGGGGTTAATTTTTAAAAGCAAGGCCAGGGAAGGCCTCATTGAGAGGATGACATTACAGGGAAGACCCTAAATGGGTGATGGGGTGACCTGAGCAGGTATCTGGGGAGAAAGTGATTGAGGTGGAGAAAACAGTAAGGGCAGAGGCCTTGAGGCAGAAGTGTGCCCAATGTGTCTGAGGAACAGCAAGAAGCCCATATGGCTGGAACAGAGCGAGGGGGAAGTCAGAGCAGGAGGTGAGGACAGAGAGTTCATGGGGGCCCAGGTGTACTGGACTGTGGAGGCCATTGTCAGGGCTGGGTTTTTTACTCTGGGTGAAATGGGAGCCACTGGAGCGTTTTGAGCAGAAGGAGTGCCATGATCTGATTTAAGTTTTAACATGATTGTTCTGCTGTTGTGATGACACTAGATTACAGGGAGGCAAGGCTGGAAGCAGAGAAACCAGCTCAGAGGCTGTTATAGGAATCCAGGTGACAGTAATGGTAACTTGGATTAGAGAGTAGCATTGAAAATGGTGAGAATTAGATTCTTCGTGTATTTTGAAAGCAAGCCAACAGGTTTACTAATGGATTGATGATGGAGTATGAGAGAGAGGAGTTAAGAATGGCACCAAGAGCCAGCCCCAGCGGCCTAGTAGTTAAGTTCAGCATGCTCTGCTTCAGCAGCCTGGTTTCGGTTCCTGAGTGTGGACCTACACTGCTCTGTTAGTGGCCATGCTGTGCCTGTGGCCTACATACTAAAAAATAGAGGACGATTGGCATAGATGTTAGATCAGGGTGAATCTTCTTCAGCAAAAGAAGAATGGCACCAAGATTTTTGGCCTGAGCAGTTAAAAGGATGGAATTGCCATTACCGAGATGGGAAAGACCTGGGGGAGGATAGGTGTGAGCCTCAGGATGGTTAATGGGATTAGGAGTTCAGTTTGGGGCATGTTAAATTTGACATGCCTATTAGATATCCAAGTTGAAATGTTGAGCAGACAGTTGGATAAAAAAAGTTTCTCTCATGAGTCATCAAGGGAAGAAAAACTTAATGGTATGTGCAGAGGAGTGGGGTGGGAGGGCTTGACCTGTTTGGCAGAGCCACGTATGAGCTTGAAGGGGACAAACTGCCAGGGATAGTCAGTTGGCCACGTGCTCTAACTGAGTGACTGGGAACTGAGTACAAGCTGGGTTCAGGGATGAGGGAAGAGGAGCCCTTGCCCCATTCTGAGCCCTACCCCTCTTCCCAGGATCCCCTTCAGCAGCGAACAGCCTGGGCCATCAGCCAGCTGGCCACCAGGAGGTACCGAGCCAACTGCAGGAGGGCCCGGGCTGAGTGGCCAGACTCAGGTAGCAGCTGCAGTTCAGCCCCTGTGTGTGCCATCTGCCTGGAGGAGTTCTCCGAGGGCCAGGTAAGGCAGGGCTTGTCGTTCACCTCCATGACCAGGCTGGGGAGGGAGGCTGGAGCTTGGGGGAGAAGGCACATAAGGCTGGTGTGGGTACGCCGGCTGCATCTGTGTTCTGTATACCCTGCATGGAGAAGAGGTAGGGGACAGCTCTGAGGTTTGGTTATTTTCCTGGTCTTCTGGGGAAAGAGAACTATTGAGCGTATACCATGTGCCAGGCTCTGCAGTGGCTTTCAATGCATTATCTCAGTTTAGCCTCATGACAGTAAGGGATGGGGGTAGATTAGTTTTTTATCCTCATTTTACAGCAGAAAACTGTCTGTTAAGAAAATTGCCCGAGGTCATGCAGCTAAGTGGCAAAATCCAGGTCTACCCCATACCAAAGCCCATACCTTTTCTGCTCTGCTCTGAGGTCTTTTGCAAGTATGTGATAGCAGAAAGGAGAGGCCAGAGGGAGTCAGGGGGATGTCCTGACTCCTGGCCGCTCATGTACCTACAGATAACTTTGGTTTGGCCCCTTGTTCTCTCCAGGAGCTCCGAGTCATTTCCTGCCTCCATGAGTTCCACCGAGCCTGTGTGGACCCTTGGCTCCAGCAGCACCGGACTTGCCCCCTCTGCATGTTCAACATCGTAGGTAGGAGGTGGGCCAGGGACTCCCCTCTGTGCAGGCAGATGGGTCTAGAACAGGGCTTCCCTCTGGGAAACAGTTTTGCCTTAAAGCTGAGGAGAAAGCAGAACGGCCTCAGCGGTTCTTTAAGCTGTGTACTGCTCAAGCCTGCCTCATCTGAGGGGAAGGGCTGCTTCATTGTAGGCATCTTTATTATTTTAAAAATATTTGTATTTTAATGACAACTTTGTTGATTCTAAATCCGAGTGATTTGTATACTTATTATTCTAATTTTCTGGCAATAAAGTATCCTATTCTAACAAAACCAGGATATTATGACAATTTTCTTAAAGATGAATATGAAGTCTCTCAAGGAAAGAGAGCCTTTTTCTAATTCACCCAAAGGTGCAACATGAGCTAGCGGTGGCCCTGGTGAAAGAGCCCCACATGGGCTGATGGGAGGAGCAGGGTTTGACGTGCACAGTGGAACTGCCAGGGAGACGAACTGACTGGAAGGAGCGAAGGTGTCCTGGGGCAGGCAGGTTAGGAATGTCCTTGGTGCCCTAAACTCTGATTGAACTCTCAGGCTCAGATAGGTACACTACAGCCATACCTTTCTGAATGCACCCTCCATTGGTCTGTGGAGTCAACACCTGTGCTCTTGGTTCTTTCTTCCAGAGGGAGATTCGTTTTCCCAATCCCTGGGACCCTCTCGATCTTACCAGGAACCAGGCCGGAGACTCCACCTTATCCGCCAGCATCCTGGCCATGCCCACTACCACCTCCCTGCTGCCTACCTGTTGGGCCCTTCCCGGAGTGCAGTGGCTCAGCCCCCACGACCTGCTCCCTTCCTACCATCCCAGGAGCCAGGCACGGGCCCTCGGCACCACCGCCTCCCCAGAGCTGCACATCCCCGGGCTCCAGGCGAACAGCAGCACCTGGCAGTGGCCCAGCACCCCTATGCACAGGGCTGGGGGCTGAGCCGCCTCCGATGCACCTCGCAGCACCCTCCTGCTTGCCCAGCGCCCCCACGCCGGGCCAGGCCTCATGACAGCAGCGGGTCTGGAGAGAGCTACTGCACAGAACGCAGCGGCTACCTGGCAGACGGGCCAGCCAGTGACTCCAGTTCGGGGCCCTGTCACGGCTCTTCAAGTGACTCAGTGGTCAACTGCACAGACATCAGCCTGCAGGGCATCCACGGCAGCAGTTCTACCTTCCGCAGCTCCCTGAGCAGTGACTTTGACCCCTTGGTATACTGCAGCCCTGAAGGAGAGCCCCGGGGGGAGGAGACTCAGCCTGGTGTGACCTCTCGGCCCCGTTCTTTGGACTCAGTGGTGCCCACAGGGGAAACCCAGGTTTCCAGCCACGTTCATTACCACCGCCACCGGCACCACCACTACAAAAAGCGCTTCCAGTGGCATGGCAGGAAGCCTGGCCCAGAAACTGGGGTCCCCCAGTCCAGGCCTGCTGTTCCCCGGACACAGCCCCAGCCAGAGCTGCCTTCTCCTGCTGATCAACCTGCCCGATCCAACCCAGCAGCACCTTCAGGGGAGCTCCCCAACACACAGCGGCTCAGAGCCCTCACAGAGCCAGCCCCGGGCCCAGCTGACACCTCCAGCCCCAGCTCCAGTCCCAGAGGCCTCTTCCACTTGCAGAAATCCAGCCTCCCTGTCCGACACTCACAGAGGAGACGACGAGGGGGTCCCTCAGAGCCCACCCCAGCCTCTCGCCCTCAGGACTTGACTGCACACCCACCGTGCCATATTTTTCCCCATTATGGCCCCAGCCTGGCATACCCATGGTCCCCAGAGGCCCATCCATTGATCTTCGGACCTCCAGGCCTGGACAGGAGGCTGCTACCAGAACCCCCAGGCCCCTGTTACCCAAGTTCACAGCCAGTGTGGTTGTGTTTGACTCCACGCCAGCCCCTGGGACCACAGCCACCTGGGGAGGGGCCTTCCGAATGGAGTTCTGGCACCCCAGAGGGCAGGCCATGCCCTTACCCACACTGCCAGGTGCTGCCAGCCCAGCCTGGTGAGTTTTCAGGGGAAGCAGGTGTGGTGGGGAGAGGAAACGAGAGCGGGATATTGCAGAACAGGTAAAGTCAGCCAACAAGGAGTGGGTGGAAGCTGAGAAGGGTACAACAGGGGTGACTTTCAAAATACTGAACAACCGCCATAGCATAGGATGCTGGTAGGAGCACTGTGGCTCTGCCAGGTGTTACTTCTTTAGTTGCCAGATCATAGGGAGGTCTCAGGGGAGGTACTAGTGTGGCTGAGACATCAGAAAGCACTTGGCGTGGTTTGGGGCAGCAGCTCACATGGAATTGTTTCAATATTTTAATAATTGGTATAACTTCTTTGTACCAGAAGTGTTCCTTGCCCTTGAAGAGAGTATGGAAGAGAAATAATTACTGATAACCATAATACTAGGCCGTATGAGAAGAGCTGTGTGAATGAGGGGAAAAAAAAAAGTAGAGATCATGGGTGGTTCCCAGCAGCCTTGTGGGTCCGTAGGTTTTCTCCTTTCTCCTGGGGTAAGACAGCAACTCTGTTTCCCTTCTAAGCTCCGTTGTCAATAAGGCTGACCTCATTTCCTTGGGGGGCCCAGTGCATCCCTGCTACTATATTACAACCAATGGTGATAATGTAAATCAACTTTAATTTGGTATTTATTTGCTCAAATCTGTCTCCGCCTCTTCCAGAGCCCTCTTCTTCCTACTCTTCCCCATCTTCTCTCATTGTGTAGATGACACAGCTCTTTGCTTATTGCCATCGCTAGGAGGACCACTCCACCCCAAAAGGGGACCCAAAGGTCCAGAAATATAAGAACTCAAGGTCTAGGAATCTTACAGGTTGGACCTGAGAGCTGCTATCATTCATTCATTTCTTCCCTCCTTGTTTCTTTCTGTATTTTAGGCTTGCTCTGTGTTAGGTTCCAGGGTAGGCTCTGAGGACATGGAACTTGTCAACCAGAAGCTCCAGGTTCATGGGGAGACAGGCATGCAAACAGTTACAGTACAGAAAATAATCGTTTCCATAGAGCCATGTAATGTAAGCTTTGGCCACGTATTTGATAATTCCATTTGAACCCTTCATGTGTGTACTTCCAGTGCTGTCAGTGCCAGACTGCCACTTCCCCTCTCTCCCAAACTCAGAACTTGTTTCAATGCCTCCCTTTTACCTGCTCCTCATATCCTATCAATGCCAGCTTCTGTTAACTGTCTCTCTGCTAACTTTTTCATATTCTCCTCCAGTACCAATGGCCCCTGCCCATGTCTTAGGTGCAGCCTAAAGTTTGAGGCGGGAGACTCCTAGCTCTTCCTTTCTGTCTTATATGGTCATGAAGGCAGGGCACTACGCATCCAGCATTATGCCCTATAGAATTGTGCAGGTCATTTACCCTGCTCACCTACCCCTCATACAGCTGCCAGGGTCATCTTCTTCAAATGAACTGTCCAGAATCTTCAAATGTTCTGTTTTATTCACAGTAAAGAAAAATCCAGACTGGTTTGGCCTTCCAGGCTTTTTAGTACCAGCTAGCCCCTAGCTTCCTTCCCAACCTTACTTTCCATTCTTCCCCTTCCCTTCCTGCCTCATGCTGTAGCCAAACTGGGTAAACACTTCGTGCAGTTCCTGCAGCCCAGAATATTCTGCTGCCTTCCTGTTCCTATAAATCCAATTCTTACCTATTCCTGAGGACCAGCTGATTTATCTTCACTTTCAGGAAGCCCTTCCTGATTGCTCCACTTGGACATGATCTCTCCCCTTCTTCAATTCATCTCTTATGACTCCAGTCCTGTCCACTGGCATAACTGCAATTTGCATGCACACCTTCTCTCCTACAAAGTTGTCAGGTCCCTGCTTATTTATTTATTTATTTTTTTGTTTTCTGTTGGGCACATGATAGTAGGCCAGATTCAAGAGTACTTAATAAATATTTTTTGGATGAATGAATAAATACCAAGTATTGGTAACATACTAGTTGCTATATATATTTCTCTTTATCTAGATTTGTTTTCTCTCCCTTGTGTCCCAACTGGGGCCCCTCTCAGCTTTCAATCTAAATATCCCTCTGGACACATTCCCTGCTCCTCCCTCTCTGTGGTTCCTTCCCAGCCGTACTTTGCTGCAGGTGGAAAAAGCAAGAGGCTGGCCTGACATTCAATGACCTCTTTCCTCCCGTTTCTCTAAACGCAGGCTCAGAGGAGGAGCTTGAGGAGCTGTGTGAACAGGCCGTGTGAGATGTTCAGGCCTAGCTCCAACCAAGAGTGTGCTCCGGATGACTCAGGGCCCTACCTGGCACAGAGTCCTGCTCCTGAGAGAAGAAAGGACCTCAGAAAACACCCCTCTCTTTGCTGTACTTCCTGGAACCACTGGAAGAAGAGTGGTGATGGTGGGTGGCAGGAGGTGTTGTTTCCTGCTGCCAGCTCCAGATCTTGTCTGCAGAACACATCTGCAGTGCAGCAAGTCTGTGTCCAGCCAGGCAACCAGCTGCTGCCTGTGTGGACTGGCTCCCTTGAAGGCTGTTTTTTGAGAGCAGAAAGCTAGGAATGGGTAGATAGGTGTTATAATGGTGCTGCTCCTACCCTCAGCCCCAGCAGGTCTCCCTCATCCCAAGCCTCATGTTCATACCAGCCAGTGGGTCCAGCTGAATGCATGCATCTCCTTCCTTGGGTGAGTGCTGCACGCCAGCTTTGGCTTCTCCCAGGTAAGGCTGCTGCATCAGCAGCAACCCTGGCTCTTACCATTTTCCTTCTCTCCAAAAGGATCAGGAGCATTGGCGAGCCCTGAGCCCTAAAAAGCAGAGCTCTGCAGCTTCTCCAGGCAATGTCTGCCCTGGTGCATAAGGGAGGATGTTTTTTCCCTTCTTGTCCTTAATTGTCTGATTCACTATATTAGGTCAGAGGGGAGGCTTTAGGAAGCCAGGGTGTGGAGTTCTGTCCCCAAGGTGGTACAGCACCTTGAAGAACCTGGGATGAAGCCTCTGATTTCCAAACTCCCTTGTCACTCCAGGAGCCCCAGTTCCTCTAGGGGCTGGCGCTGGTGATAGGGAGAGGGAATAACTCTTCCTTGGAGATCTCCTATCTCAAAGTCTCAAAGTAGGCGGAAAGAAGATTTCTGCTAGACTTCATCTAGGAAGAGGGAGGATGGAATGAAGGTAGAAAAGGTAGAATTAGAGCTGAACAAGGACAACAGGGAATTCTTCTCTGGGAGTTTTCTCTCACAGCAGGACGGGGAACAGGGGGAGAGCAAAGGAAAAGCAAAGTGGGACCCTTGGGGTTAGATGGCCCAGAGGCCCAGCCTCCTAATAGAAGCCATACAGGTCAGGGTAAGCCATGCGAGAGTGGAGTTGCAGCAGGAAGTCTGGCCTGGGCAGCTGGTACCAAGTGGGCAAGGGCTGAGGGGTTTCCTTAGGGTGACATTCACCCCAGGGCAGCTTGACCATTGCTGGCCCCTCTAGCATTATCCCATTTGGAATGTGAATGTGGGAGCAAAGTGGTCATAGGACCCCACCTGGGAATCTTCTTCCCTCAAAGTAAGTGGGGAACTAGCACCTAGGCACCCACATGGGTATTTATATCTGAACCAGACAGAAAGATGCTTGAATCAGGCACTATGTTGAGAAATGTATTTATTTGCTAATATATTTATCCACAAATGAAGTCTGGTCTCGTGTTTTTGTTCTGTCACAACTGTCACTCAGGGTAATGACTTCATCTTCTGCATCAACAGAAATAAATTACATCTGATATCAGAGGCTAAGCTCTGATTTATGAAAAGATAGGGTAGAGTGGTGGGCTTGGCAACAAGAATGGGTTTGTAAGCCCCTAAAAGCATGGTTTAGTGAGATCAGGGGAGGAGAAAACATGGCTGGATTCTCACTGTGGTTCAGTTGTTTTCTACATTATTGCTGTACTCTTTACTTCCCGCTCTAATTTATGATGTTTCAGTGACTTTCTTTGTGGCCCTGGGTAAATATTCTGTGCTTCATTTTTTTCCACCCATAAAATGGGCTTACTTCGCAGTGGTTGCAGAGCTCCACTGAGATAACATAAAGGAAAGTATTCAGTGCCAGAGAACATCCCAACCCCAGTCACAGAGCCCATCTGAACACAGCATGAGACATGCACAAGACAGGCCCGCCTTGAAGTAGCTCAGTCTCAATTAGGCCTGTTTGGGAGGGTGGAACAGCAGGGCCTGAAACTATTTATATCTCAAAGCTTCAGTTCAGATAAACACAAATGACTGTGCTCTGCCTACACGCGGGACCTCGGAAGATCAAGAGAGCCGGTGCCGGGCGTAGGAAGAATTCCGCGGGGCCCGGGGAGGCCTTGCTTTCATCCTCCCAAAGCCCTCCCCGCTCCGCCTCTCCGGGAAAGGGCTGGCAGGGGTAGTGGTGGTCTGCTGCCCAATTCTGAACCAGAGAGCGACATTTAGCTTCCTATAGGGTGAAATTAAAAAAAAAAAAATCAAAAGGACGCAATCTCCTACAGATGTTCTGAAGTAAAGGAGCTGTGTCTAAATGCTAAAAGCTGCACAAAGCGTAAATTATCGGCTGGAACGAGGAAACGTACGTAAAGAGTTTTAAAAAATAATTAAGCAGGCATTTTTCCGCCGTGCGTTCACGGCCGGCATTCCTGCGGACGGCCAATGGAAACCCTATCAAGCCCTCGCCGTCAGGAAGGAGGCGGGGCTGTCCCCGGCTTTCTTTCCGTCTCTGCAGAGATAATCCAGAGGGAGACAGTGGACTCTCTGGCCCCGCGCTTTTACAACGGGCAGACAAAAGAGAATCTCGGCTGTCACCCGGGAGCCTCCCAAAGGGCCCGCGGCCTGGTGCCAGCGGCCTAGATCAAATGGCCCGCGCCGCCCGGTTCCGGCCCGCGCCGCGGCACGCTCTCGCGCAGGCGCCACCGCGCCGCCCCTCCCCCACAGGCCCCGCCCACAGGGCCAACGGCCGCGCCGGCCTCGCCCTCGCGCAGGCCCAGGTGGCGGGGGCGCGCGCCGGCCCAGGTGACTCCCGGCCGGCCCCGCCTCCGGGCGGGAGAAACCATCTCCTGAAGCGGGGGGAGGGGCGGGGCTCGCGGCCTTACACACCGGAAGAGGAAGTCTGAGCACCGGATGTGTCGGGCATTCTGGGTAATTCGCTGTTTACTTCCCGTGAGCGAGGGGTCTGTGGCACAGTCGCTCGTTGTTCTTCCATCGGAGAGGATGGCTCTGGAGACGGTGCCGAAGGACCTGCGGCATCTGCGGGCCTGTCTGCTGTGTTCGCTGGTCAAGGTATCCATCTGGGACGTGGTTTAGTCGCGGTGGGGGACCAAGCTGGGGGAAAGAGGGTAGAACGGGGCTCCGGGATAGTGGAGAGAAAGGTAAGGGCCAGGCCGCCGGGGGTGGCAGGCGATGTGGGGGAGCTGCAGGAGGTCGTTGTTTATGTCGGTAGGAAAGCAGGCAGGTTTGGCAGCCGTGGGCACGGGCGGTCTTACATGCTTTGGAATCCTCAGCTCTTAGCACAGGGCTGACCCCTTAACAGATGTTCGGTGAACTTCTTTTGGAGCCGAAGTACACCGGGAGTCAGAGGAGGGTGGGAATCTGCAGCTGAGGGAGTAGTCGTAGGGTGCCTGACCCTGAGGAGACTAGGCAAGGGAGTAGGTAAAACGCCGTTGGGAACGAGAGAGGAAGGAGTGTGAGGGTGGCACTCAGGAAGGGGCTTCTGGGAGTGGTGGGTGGGGGACCTGGTGAGATAGAGCGAACGTAGAAAGCCGTCTCCTTGACCAGGTAGAAGTATTGAGAAAGCTCCTGTTTTTGGCCTTGTCCGTGCTCACCTCTCTCCTTTTTTCCCCCTCCCAGACTATAGACCAGTTTGAATATGACGGTTGTGACAATTGTGATGCATACCTTCAAATGAAGGGTAACCGAGAAATGGTATATGATTGCACCAGCTCTTCCTTTGATGGGTAAGCCCCTTTAGATTCTTTCCTTCCTTCTACATTCCCTCTGCCCCCACCCTAACCGACCCACCCTACCCCACCCCACCAAGTAAATGTGGGGCAGGCTTTTGAGACCTAATCATAGTTGGTCTCAAAGTTACTTTGAGACACACTAGTCCTATGCTGTCCAGTACAGTAGCCACTACCCACGTGTGGCATTGAGCACCTGAAATGTGGCTGGGTCAAATTGAGATATGCTTTAAACGTAAAATGTACTACCCTGGATCTCAAGGGCTTAGCGCGAAAAAGAATGTAAAATATCTTAATAGTCTTTGTATTAATTATATGCCTAAATGATAATACTTTGGATATATTGATTAAGTGAAATGTATTATTGAAATTAATTATACCCGTTTGTCTTTACTTTTTTAAACATGGCTGCTAGAAAATTTCAAATGATTTGTGCAGCTTTCATTATATTTCCACTGGACAGTTTTTCACTGGAATGTTAGCTCATTAATGGTAGGGAGTTTGTTTACCTTGTGTGCCATAATATGGCATAGGGCCTGGAAGGTGGTGGATGCTTAATAAATGTTTGTTGAATGCATGAAGATCCATTTTGAAAATGAAGAAAAAGGAAGGTACGGTAACAGTAAACGATTGCCCCAAAGCTGATGCTTTTAGAGAACTGTAAGAGGACCTATAAGAAAAGTTTTCGCTTGGCAAGATTGTCCAGTGGGGAGAAAGGGAAGTGAGAGAAACATAAGTGGCCAGGTTTCAATTTTCCTTCCTCAAGGTAGGAGCCAGAGGGCAGTGTTCTTTGGGGGTTAAGGAGGTACTAAGTTTCTTTGGGCCTCTAGGCCAATTAAGAGTTTATGCACAAACTGGCCCAAACCGGATACTTGCCAAGGTTCCCTCAAGGTGGGCCAATTCCATACCTTCTTTGATTTCCTTTAAGGAAGAATAAGGGATTGGGCAAAAGAGAGGTTGTCGTGGGACCTTTACTTCCTACATGTGCATGTACAGACTCAGGTAGATACTCCAGTCCCTAGTGCTAGCAAGTGAACGAAGGGACTCCCATCTATGGGTGAAGTTCTGTGTTGGCTGCTGTGAGAGATGTCAAGAGTTACACAGTGAGGGGCTGGCCTGGTGGCACAGCAGTTAAGTGCGCACGTTCTGCTCCAGTGGCCTGGGGTTCGCTGGTTCGGATCCAGGGTGTGGACATGGCGCCGCTTGACAAGCCATGCTGTGGTAGGCGTCCCACATATAAAGTAGAGGAAGATGGGCACGGATGTTAGCTCAGGGCCAGTCTTCCTCAGCAAAAAGAGGAGGACTGGCAGTAGTTAGCTCAGGGTTAATCTTCCTCAAAAAAAAAGTTACACAGTGAGATACTTACTAGTAAGAGAGACACAGTGTAAAGTTTTGCATATTAGAGTTTAAAAAAATTGTAAAATGTACATAAATTTACTTTTTTGTGTGTGTGTGAGGAAGATTGGCCCTGAGCTACCATCTATGCTGATCTTCCTCTGTTATGTATGTGAGTTGTGCCTCAGCATGGCTGGTGAGGGGTGTAGGTAGGTGCGCAGGATCCGAACCTGCGAACCAGGGCCACCAGAACAGAACGTGCTGAACTTAACCACTATGTCATGGGGCCAACCCAAAAATTTACCGTTTTTAAGTGTAGAATTCAGTAGTATTAAATATATTCACATTATTGTGCAGCCATCACCACCATCCATCTCCAGAACTTTTGTCATCTCATTTCCTCTTCCTATCAGCCCCTGGCAGCCACCATTCTACTTTCAATGGATTTGACTACTCTAGATACTTCATATAAATGGAATGATACAATATTTGTCCTTTTGTGACTGGCTCATTTCACTTAGCATAATGTCTTCAAGGTTTATCCATGTTGTAGTGTGTGTCAGAATTTCCTTGTTAAGCTGCATAATCTGTTGTATGTATGGACCACATTTTGTTATCCATTATATACTGATGGACAGTTAGGTTGCATAACAGCCACCATTTTGGCTGTTATGAATAATGCTGCTGTGAACGTGGGTTTACAGGTATCTGTTGAGGTCCCACTGTTCACTTGTGGGTATATATCCAGAAGTGGAATTGCTGGATCATTCTATGTTTAATATTTTGAGGAACCACCATACTGTTTTCCAAAGTAGCAGTACCACTTTATATTCCTACCAGCAGTGCACAAGGGTTCCAATTTCTCCACATCCTTGCCAACACTTATTTTCTGGTTTTTGATAATAGCCACCCTGTTGGGTGTGAAGTGGTATCTCATTGTGGTTTTCATTTGCATTTCCCTAATGATTAGTGATGTTGAGTGATCTTTTCATGTGCTTATTGGCTATTTGTATATCTTTGAAGAAATGTCTGTGCAAGTCCTTTGTCCATTTTTTTATCAGGTCGTTTGCTTTTTTGTTGTTGAGTTGTGGGAGTTATTTATATATTCTGGTGCTTATTGGCTTTTGAAGAGTGAGTATATCACAGGCTAAAGGACATCAGAGGAGGGTTAGATGAACTCAGCATATGAATCAGACTCTTAAGGAAAGAAGTACAGGATTTTTGAGGAGGTTGAGGTGAGAGAGGCAGAAAAAGCATTCTAAACAAAGAGATTGACTCAAGCAAGAGCATGGAGTGGGAAAACCAGGGTATGTTTGGAGAATGGTGAGAATTGTTTAGGTTAAGTCATAAGATTGGATAACAGGCGCTGTAAGGCTAGAAAGATAGTGGAGGAGAGAGGAGAATGTGCTTTTGGCCAGGCGAATGGCCGGCATACGTGCCTACCCCAGGTCAGTCTGCTGGGCCAGGGCAAGTATTACCCTACTCACCACCCCTGGAGGTGGGGTCAGTTCACTCAAAGCATATGGCTGAGAATGTGGGATTTGCATGGGGAGAGAGGCTCCCCAAATAAGAATCCAAGATTGCTGCAAGAGGAGAGGGAATGGTTTGAGGAGGCAGTCAGCAAATATCAGTGCCTAGAAGAGTCCTGTCCCAAAAGGCATCAGTAAGAGTTTGAGTGAGTGAGTGAATGACAAAGATAACCCCCAGCTTCTGAAAGCACCTGATGCACACCTGTTAAGTAGCAGGCTTCTAGCCCTTGCGTAGCCTTTCTGTTGCCTGTGCTCTTGGATCACAGCTACGCTGGGAGGGACTCTTAGGATAATGAGAGCTAATGTTTATGTAGCATCTGCTCTGTGCTAGGTGTGTTTCGTGTATTAGATCAGCCTTTGAGTCTTATCCTGATGAAATTCTGAGAGGTCTCCATATGTGTGCCAGACTCTACAGCTCATTAGAGGCAGAGCTTGGCCAAGTCTAACTTATTTCTGGTAGAAGGACCCATTGTTTTGAGTCACCCTCCCCTTGACACTAGACCGCAGCCCCCTAGTGGTTGTGTTGGTTGTAATCAGTAACACTGGCCATCTACCTCTAAAGCTATCCTGTTTGCCAGGGAATCCTTGGGCTAAGGATGTTTTTGAGCCTAGTGAGATAGTCTTTTGGCGGTGGTGACTGATGAGAGGGACGTAAGTGCAAAGGACCTTTGTCAGTACCAGCTTTGAGTCAGCCCCTTCCCAGCATTAGAACTCAGTTTCCCCTGCTTTCTAGTAGAGACTCAAAACTTGGCTTTTGCATATGTTTCCTCTCCCAGCACTCTTGTGCTGGCTGGGAACAGTAAAGAGGGCAGCTCCCGTGGTCTGTCTGTTCTCTAGTAGGGGAGCCTCAGGCTAATTCTGTTTCTTTTCCCTTCCCAGAATCATTGCGATGATGAGTCCAGAGGACAGCTGGGTCTCCAAGTGGCAGCGAGTCAGTAAGTATCTCCCTTTCTCCTTATCCTAGTTGTGTTGTTGTTGCTGTCTCTCGGGTCCAGTGGGGGAGTCTTAAATCAGGGTAAGTGGTTTCAGAGGGAGAAGGATGGGGTTGTAGGAGAGAAAAGGAAAGTGCCCTGTGCTCTGTCATTTAACGCTTGTAGCCAAAGGTAGTGATTGCTCTTCTCTTGGAGTGGGAGCATTTCTTTCATTTTTAGTTTAAGCCTCCATTTGGTCTTTAGTCTTAACTCATTCTTATTGCAATCTCTTTTCTTCTCTCTCAGGTAACTTTAAGCCGGGTGTATATGCGGTGTCAGTCACTGGTCGCCTGCCCCAAGGTAATACTAGTCATAATGATAGTCAATGTTCATTTATTGTGCCAAGCTCTGTGGAAGTCCTTTATGTGAATTAATGCCAGTTCTCACAACTCTGCGAGGTAAACTAGGCACACACAGGTTAAATAACTTGCCCAAGGTCACCCATCAGGTAAGTGAGGAGCCAGAATTTGAACCCAGGCATTTTCGCTCCAGAACCCTTGCTTTTGATGACTACAATGTGTCTCTTTTTCTTCTCATTCGTACCAAGTCATTACCAGGCACTAACCTGGGTCTTCAGTAGTAAAAAGCTGACCAAGCAGGACTATTGAGCAGTCTAGGAACTCCCGTTTGCTTAGCCCCACCCCTCCACCCCACCCCAGCCAAAGTGGCAGCTGAGGGACCTTTCCTATCCTTCAGAATCCTGGAATCTTCTTCCCTCATGGAGCTGTTTTTTATTTCCTGCCACAGGAATCGTGCGGGAGCTGAAAAGTCGGGGAGTGGCCTACAAATCCAGAGACACAGCTATAAAGACGTAGCAAGATGCATGGCTGCCAGTATCTTTGCTCCCCATCTCCTGCCTCTCCTTATTTTTTGTTGTGGAACTAAATAAGCAGAGCTTCAAATACTTCCCACTCTCCAGTTCTGAGACTCAGCGGACCGTTGAGAGAGCAGTACAGCATGTCCCTGGGCCATTTTACCTTCTTTGGACTACTGGTGGGGGTGGGAGGGGTTTGGATTGGTGGATTAACAGAGACTGAATTGGTTGGGGTGTAGGATGCTGGTTTTCCTACCCACAGCCCAGGGCTGTGCCCTTGTGCATGGGCAGGAGTCTGGGTCAAATGCCAATAAACATGAACCCCTGAAAAGGTTCTTAAGCCCACGAGAGATGCCTCGTTTCCTTCTTTTCTCTTAGCTGGGCACAGTAAGAACCGGTAACATAGTGGTTAAGTTTGCACACTCCACTTCAGCGGCCTGGGGTTCACGGGTTTGGATCCTGGGCGTAGACCTATACACTGCCCCTCAAGCCATGCTGTGGCAGCATCTCACGTACGGAATAGAGGAAGATTGGCACAGATGTTAGCTTGGGGACAATCTTCCTTGAGCAAAACGAGGAAGATTGGCAACAGATGTTAGCTCAGGGCCAATCTTCCTCACAAAAAAAAACCCACCCCACAAAAGTTGCTTTGTAAGCACCTTCTCAGAGCAACAGAGGCTCTTTTGCTCCCCATTACTCATCTCTGAGCTCCAGGGTTACCGCCTTTTCAGTGTGCTTCCTTGCGTCTTGTTGGAAGCTCTGCTCTCCTGAGTCTAGGCAACCCCATGGGCCTGGTAGTCCTGGTGTCTGGCGGTTGTAGCCATCTGCCCTCTAGACCCTCAGCAGGTGTCCCTTGAAATAATAAGCCTTCTTTGTATTCTTTGACCCTTGGCCAGGTTTAATACTTTTTTTCCTTGTCTGTTTTCTTCTTTTTCCTGCTCTTTCTATGCCTTAGGCTAGTCAGTGGCACTCATGACCTCCCTCTCCCCCATTCACATCCCTCTGTATTCCCCTAAGGAGACCCAGCCTCAGGTGGCTTTTGCGTCTTGGTCTGGCTAGTTTGTACTTCCCCTCCCTTTCTTCTCTGGCCTAGGAGGGACCTTGAGTGATGTCATGTTATTGGCCAACGTGACTTACTTGTTTTAGAGGTAAAAATTTACCATAAATTCTCATTTACTTAAATTTCCACAAAAATCCTGTCAGTATCCCCATGATTTCCCTTTTTTTAAACACATTAGAATCACCTGTAATTTATTATTTTCTTTAGATTGGTGCCTGAGCCGTTGCCAATCTTTTTTTTTTTCCTTCTCCCCAAAGCCCCCCAGTACGTAGGTGTGTGTTCTAGTTGCTGGTCCTTCTGGCGCTGCTGTGTGGGATGCCGCCTCAGTGTGGCTTGATGAGCGGTGCCATGTCCACACCCAGGATCCAAACCAGGGAAACCCTGGGCTGCCGAAGCAGAGCGTGAAAACTTAATCACTCCACCACGGGGCCAGCCCCTCCCTGTTTCTTGTTCTCTATCTATAAAACAAGAATGAGTATACTCTGTCTACCTCAGGAATGTTGCAATTATAAAAATGAAGCAATGGGAAAAAAAATTCCGTAACTTAAGTTTTATAAAAGGTAAACTTCGTTTGCTGTCCTTTTATTAGCCGTTCTTCAATATATGTATGTGCACAATCAACCAAAATAGTTGGGGAGGGGCCGGCTCCGTGGCCGAGTGGTTAAGTTCGCACGCTGTGCTGTGGTGGCCCAGGGTTCGGATCCTGGGCGTGGACATGGCACCGCTCGTCAGGCCACGTTGAGGCGGCATCCCACATCCCACAACTAGAAAGACATGCAACTAAGATATGCAACTGTGTTCGGGGGGGGGGTTTGGGGAGATAAAGCAGAAAAAAAACAAAAAGAAAAAAAAATAGTGGGGGAAATACCCAGAACCACCAATGCAGGGTAGCTCTGACTCATTGGCAAAGGTGCCTGCTCTAGGGCTTTGTGTCTCTTAGCCACCTGGTGTTGCTAGTGAGTCAGTGTCTCCTTACCTGTGGCCTGGAGTGTGGGGGAACAAGGGAGAGATGCTGACTCTCCCCTGACCCGCTTTCCTCGTCCTCTCATAAGAAGGAAGCTGGGACTGGCTCAGGCCGCTCATGTCACCACTCACAGGTCCTCCTCAAACCAGAACCATTTTCTTTGGTGCCTTCAAGCTCTGAGGGAATGGTCTGTTAACCCAAATTCCACCTGAGTTTTTCAAAGGATTTCCCCTGCCCAGCAAACTGAAAGAGCTCCAGGGGTGCTGGTTTCTGTCTGATTTCAATCTGGAAGGAGCCTTGGGAAGCGGCCCCACCAGGCTAGAGCTTAAGTCCTGGAGGGAAGAAGTGGGTTTCAGCAAGAGTGCCTAGGCCATGCAGCCAACACCCAACTTTCACTGGCTTTCTCAAAAAGTCCCTTGGAAATCCCCGCTGCTGTCCTGTGTGTCTGACCCGGACGTGGCTGCTTGGTGAGAATGGAAACAGTTGTGGGGAGGGGAGGCAAGAGGAGCTGTGCACAAATAACCACACTCAGGCTGCCTCAACCCCACACTGAGCTGGGGCCCTAACTGTCAGCCTCGCAGGAAGCGAAAGACATAGGCACTGATGGTTGTGGGGGAGGGGGACCAGTTGCAGTGACCGGATTTCACGCAGTTCCAACTGGATTCTGCCTAGAAGCTGCTTCTGAATTTGCTTTCTTGCTTTCTTTGGTCTTTGAACCTGCTTGTGGTGCCACTCAGCAGCCCAGATAGGCAATAAAGTGCTGGATCCCCATCCCTGGCTGGGAGCCCAAAGAAGCTGAAACAGAGACCATTGGTTCTTCAGGGCTCTTTGGGAGTGAGCAGTGCTGTGTGGTAGAAAAGGTTTCAGGAGCTGGTACTGCTGCCCTGCTCTCCGCATGCGTGAGGGCTATGCCCTGCCCATTCTGTCTGTCAGAGGTCCAGCCCCATTCTGACTCCTGAGGTCCCATATCTGCCCAGCGTCTTGTTTGTTCCCTTGCTCAGTAGTTTGGCTTCTTTCCTTCAGAAAGGCAAGGCTCCTCCCTAGTTCAACAAGGACAGACTCAGGTCAGACAGATTAGAAACAGTAGTGACCAGGCTGCCTTCCCCTTGCCTGCTTATTGCTCATTCTCCACTCGCCTCTCACCACAGGCTGTGGGGTTAGGGTCTCTCCCCAAAATGGTCTAAGTGGCAGTGCATTGCCGAGTGCAGCCTCCAGCTCAAGGCAGGGTTTGGTAGCTGATAGAACAAGGGTCAGAACATTCTGGTCTTGGAGGGGAGCAGTTTCCCCAAGAGTAACGGGGATGGGCTCTTCAAGTTTGGGATTGAGGCCTCCCCTCTGGGCATGGCCATTACCTTCTTACTCCCAACCTGTCTATAACCTGTTATTCAAGCCCCCTCCCTGCCGCCTGATCTGTGTGTGTGTGTGTGTGTTGTGTATACAAGAGACAGGTAGGTAATATTTAAGAACAGACTAATAACATCTTTGTCTGGAAGTCTGGTTCATGTTTATTATCAGTAAACCCTTCATTTAAATAGCATTTTACAGTTGACAAAAGGGCTTTCACATCCATTATCTTGATTCAATCCTCACAAAACCCTTGTGTTATAGTTAACTTCCTAGGTAGTAATGAAGAGTTAAAGTGACCTGGTATGATCAAGTGGTGGAGCCTTAGCTCAAGAAATACATTGCCCACACCCAATTTAGTGCTGCTTACTGTTTCTGACATAGTTATCCCCAAACGCAGCAGGTTTGCTCCCTTCGTGAACATCCCACAGAACCAGCGTGAGGCCTTAGCTTGTTGTTGCGTGAAAGTTACACGACCCTACACATTGAGCCCCCCTGACCACCATACTCTGACCACCTACATCTCTGGTCCCTAGGTCTAAAATTAGCTAAAGAGAGGGAGGCAGTGTGGGGAAATGGCCCAGGGAAGAGGTCCTCGGGATTTACTCAAGGAACCGTGTGCAGAGCATTGGGAAACTGGTCCAGTCCTTCTCCAACTCCCACCTCGCTGCATCTTCTCTTCCACTCCAGCAGCTCTTAGGTATCTGCCAGTCTGAGCTCCATACTCCCCAAACTCTCCTGCTTTTTTCTACTCACCACATCCCTCCATCTGCAGCCCAATTATGGCACCTTTGTGCTCCACTGGCACACAGACTCGTGTGATAAAAACACGCACATCCAACTAGGGGCCTTGTCCCTGCCTGCCAGCCTTGCTGTCTCCACCACCCATTAGTTGTGACTTTTCCAACTCACTTTACTTCTTTAAAATGAAGTTTGCCCCTTAATAAATGCAGGTGACAAAACTCTTGTGTTAGGTGGCAGGATAGTGGTTATCTGTGAAAGGTGGGGGTGGAAGAAGGCATGAGGGGCTCTTAAGGTGTTGGTTAGGTTTGTTTCTTGATCTGGATGCTAGTTACATAGGTCGGTTCACTTTCTGAAAATTTATTGAGTTATACACTCATGATTTGTTCACTTTCCTGTTTGTACATGATATTTCAAATTTAAAAAGCTCACTTAAAGGGGCCAGCCCTGTGGCTGAGTGATTAAGTTTGCACGCTCAGCTTGGTTAGCCTGGGGTTTGCTGGTTCAGATCCTGGGCATAGACCTATGCACCACTCATCAGGCATGCTGTGGCGGCATCCCACATAGAAGAACTAGAATGACCTACAACCAGGGCATACAACTATGTACCAGGGCTTTGGGGAGGAAAAAAAAGAGGAAGATTGGCAACAGATGTTAGCTCAGGGCCAATCTGCCTCACCAAAAAAGCATACCTAAAAAAAAACTCACTTAAAGATGCAGTTGGTGGCAGGCCCTGTCTTTAACTTAGGTAAAATAATTTGAGAGCTGTAAACTACTAAGTGTATCTAAGGAATTGTCATTATCCAAAGTTGTCCACCTCTAGATAAATTCTAGGTAAGTGTGGCAAGAATGTCATCCCTCTGGCATGGTTGGGCAATGGATGTTCCAACACGTCTTTCATACATAAATATATCAAAACAAATAGTTTCCTTCAAGTACCATGGCTTTGTATTTTCATCTCTCTTTCTGTTCTCTCACTTTTTATGACATTTTGTTTTTAAATATGTATTTCCTTGCTATTTGGATATGACATTCTGGATGTGATTTAACCTTTACTTGGCTCACAGTCATTGTTATAAACCTCCATTTTTGCATCATCTGGTGAAATGGTTCTGGGACTGATTATTTTTCCACCTCTTGGATTCATGTCAGCCTGTCAGCTGTCACTTCTGCTGCTCATGTGTGGCTGTCCCCCTTCCAGTCTTTTTTGAGCTAGGAGAACAGACAGCCGTGCTGGGT